AATAAAAAAAAGGAAAAAGCCCCACCAAATTTAAAACTTTTTTTTTTTTTTTTTTTTTTTTTTTTGGTATTACTCTCTATTTTGGGACTAAATTAAAAAGGGAAGGTGAATTCAAGCAGCACAGCTTAATTTTGGTTTGGTTTCAGATTGAAACAATAAACCCCACACGGTACGCCCCACAATTGGCTAGAGTTCCTTCTAGAATTTGCCAGTCTAGCAGAATTTTCACAGTTGCAACAGAATATAGTAAAGAAAGATAACTGTGTTGCACTTGGTTTAGCTACAAAGATTTTCTATTTACTGCCCAAACCAGAATTTAGCTAGAGAATTCTTATTCTTCATCCCTCTTATACAAGAATAATTTATCACTTCGACTGAACCAAAAAAAAAAAAAAAAAAAAAGCTGTCACTGTGAGGGAGTGTGCTAGTGAAGGTGGCACTAAGCCAGATTTAACCAGTACTTTTAGGCCTATAATATTATTTAAATTAGCCAAGGTGCTTGTTAGCGCTGGCCCTAGGCTCTCAGCTTTGGTGATGTGACCGCAATCAGTATAAAGCAGGAACACAAAGAGGATTTTAAGGGCTTTATGGAAAGGCAAGAAACTGAAAACCGGAGTTCTGTTCTTTTTTTTTTTCCTTTTTTTTTTTTTTTTCCTAAACCCCAAGATTTGGCTGAGGGGAACATGGCAATCCATAGGGTACCTACTCAGCGTGGCGTGCACATCAAGAAGTCTCTGAAATTGTTTTTTTCCACACAGGAGTCCAGTTTTGAACGTACCATTAACAACAGCCCTTGATGCCAGACTTTGCTTGTGCCCACTGATCTGAAATTGCAACTTGCAGTTGCTTTTCCAGCTCATCAGGCTGGAAGAGATTCTTAGGCTTCTCCAAACATTTCTTGCGTTTTAGTATTTCATGCCACCTGACGTGAGATTTCCTGTTTGCTATGCGAAATCATAATGGCTGCAAGCATATTTAAGACCAAGACAAAAATACCAGCTTATTGGGCAGCAAGCTGTCACTTTTTTTTTCAGCACCGCAGGGTTCTTTTTGTTTGAATTTTATTTCTAGTGACTTCCATTCCTCCTCCTCAGAAACCTGTTCTGCATTGGACAAAATGTCATGAATTCAAAAATGAAAAATAGGCAATGGCATCCACAGCAAAGCACTGTGCAGTTTTAGTGAGCTGCCGTTGTCTAGGAAACCTGCAACAGTCACTCGCCAGCAGTTAATTTGCTCTTAGCTGCTTCTCAGATGCAGTTTTAATTTGGCTACTGCTTTTTCAGATTAGCTTACATTAGTTACCGCAATAAAGATACAGCGCCTGTACGGTAGTATTTAGGTAACACGTCCACGTCAGTGTGAAGATCTGGATGTGTCTTGTCGTTTTCCAAATATACGTGAGCTAAACACAACATATTGGGGGGGGGGGGGGGGGAG